TTCTCTTGTTTGCTTGCGCTCCTCAAACCACGATCTCTGGCCGCTCCGTCGAAGACCTCATGCACACCTGCAAGAGTCACAGGCTACAATCTCTGCAAGAAACAAAAAGAGTGCAAGATTCTGCTAGAAAACCAACGCAGCTCAAGCAGCTTGGCACCGAAAGGTTTTAATCTCAAGCAGCTCCACATTCGGCAAAGAATGCACCATACTACTACGCTCAAAATCGAGAGTAGTCGTGGTTTCTGCAAGCCCCCTCAGCCCAAGCTTGACTCCAACAATACTCTTCGCATGATGAAGCTTGAGAGAGCTAGATCACAACACGATGCTGCTAAAACCCATGCTATGAGAATCAGCATGAAATGTCACCACCAATTTTAAATGTTTGGGAATCCACCCTCCAGCCATCCTGAGCACAAAACAAACACCTTCAAACTCCAACACTTCTTCGATTTGGAGACTGTGTGGAGGTCTACAGATTCGGATAGACCTGTGCACTCTGAAGTGGTGGCAGGTTGAAACGGGAAAGGTTCAAACGAGTCGCACCGAGTGGCACAGAAGGCACGTTCGTGTCTTCCTTGAAAGCACAATGCCAGACAGGTCCAGGCCACCCTCACGTACCTCCTGACTACATCACTTTTTTCGCTGTGCTTCGAAAGCTTCATGGATTTCTCCGTGTCAAAAGCTGTTCTTTTCCGCACCCTGTCTACCCGCTGAGCTTCGGTTGGCTGGAGCCCTGAAGCCATCGAACAGGTGCGATGATTTCTCACCCAAACCGCAGCTCGCCGTTCAAAGGGATGATGCAAGTTTCGGAGCAAAGATAGATTTTTTGGTCAAGTAGCTGCACCGGGCAACGGTGAAGGGCGCTTGCTTGCTCGTTTTCGTGAGGTCAAAGAATTGAGAGGATGAATCTGAATTGATGCAACTTGAGAGGAGGGAGACACGAAAGGTAGGACAGCGGGAAGAGAAAAGAACGCGAGAGGCAGGAACAAAAATGCAATGTTCGACATGGTGATTTATCCCCTCTCGGAGGCGACCTTTCGTAAATATAAGTTTCCTACTCCACTAGCTGTCCACCGCGCAAACCCACTTTTTGCGCGCCAAGGCTCAAACTGGTTCGAGCCACCCAGAGCTCGGGGGAGGGTGGGTGGGTACCTTGCCCTTGAACCTAAACGTGAAACAGCTAGAGGTAAAAGAAAACCCGGCACGCGCAAGCTGAATGCCTAAAGTTTCCTACTCCACTAGCTGTCCACCACGCAAACCCACTTTTTGCGCGCCAAGGCTCAAACTGGTCCGAGCCACCCTTGCTCCTTTAGAGCTCCTCCCCCCCCCCGCTCGGGTCCGGGCGCGAAACACGCCTCGGACCCCAGAGCAAGCGGAGTGGCCAACATGCACTTAATTTGGGGTGAGATCGGCCGTGATCATCTTTTGAGCGACGCCGCGTGCCGTTTCACGTGCCTCCCATACGTAAGTCTGGAACGAATCGCTCGCCCAGCGTTCCCACCTTTTAACCAAGGCGGTGTCCTGATATTGCGCCCACAAGGCACTTGCCCCTCCGAATCGCAAAGAATGCGTGCCAAGGTCGCCACTGAGCAGATCCAGCCCCTTTGCTGCTCGTTCGATAAGGGCTTGAGTGGCAGTACGCGGTATCGGCCTTTCATCGGCTGAGCGGAACAAAAGTTCTTCTGCTTCTGCTCCCCCTTGATACCTCTGGGGAAAGTGGTGGAACAGAGTCACCATGGCGGTCACAACGCACACAGGTTCAGACGTTCTAAAGTGGTTGCGGACCTGTCCACGGTTATATATGTCCGTCTTAGACCCTCGGACGAGGATGGTCACCTCATCGGCTTCGCTGAGCCTGTCAAGCCCCAACGCTCTCCCATTCAGTTTCAGAGTGATGTCACTTCCTCGAAGGCCCCGATTTGGGTCTTGGTACTCTGAGGCCTTCAGCAGGAAGAAGAACCCCAAAGTCAGGGCGCCCCATAAAAGGCTGGCTTCCTGAGAGCGCCCGAATTGTAAATGGTTCCCAAGCCATTTGAGCATGTCAGGCATAACAGGCATGCGCCTTTCTTTCGTGCCATATCGCCTTCTGAGACCGGCTAGGGCCAAGGGGACTCTTGGCATGTGAGCCAAGGGATCCGGGTAACCCAACGTCAAGCGCATTGAGCGGATGGCTGCAAGTCTCAACTTGATCGTTCCTGGGGCCTTTGCTTCATTCGTAGAACAATGAACCAGGTAATCAAGGATTAACTGCTCTTCCGCACGGTTGTAGGACGGCACATAGCGCACGGGGTCTTCGTTCCGGCGTCGGCAAAAAAGAGACCACCATCCCCACTGCGATTGGTAGCTGGCTGTCGTACTCTGAGAGTATCTGGAGAGGAGGAGGGCGAACCCCTCCTGATCGAACTCGTGTCTCCCTAGGATGGTAGCCAGTCGAAGGGCCTTTCCAGGTGGATGTCTTCTACTTGCTGCTTTGGGTCCCCCAAGGAATGGGGTTTCCAGTGCCGGTTGTTGCTCTTCCCTGTCGAGGCACATTGAACCTCACTTTCTTCCTAGAGCCACCCACCCTCCTCGGCAGGGAGGCGTTTCCTCCCTTCTTGGAGGTCCCCTCCCATTGCCTCACGATCAGGCTTTTGAGGAAGATAAGGGCGAAGACAACCATCTGTATGAGGCCCAAGAGGCAGACAGCGGCCCCAAGATCAAAAAGGACCCCGCTGGCCATATCCAATAGGTAACCCTCTTTCCCATCCATCACATCTTCGTCGAGGGCCATCCCGTTAGCGGACTCAACAGCCAAGGTCAAAACTGCGCCTCTAAGTCCGGGCAAGAAACTCGCCACTGGTTGTGGTCCCTCTCGGCATCGTCCTTGGCGTTACTCTTCTTTTCTTTGCGGCGATCCGACTTGATCTTCTTTCGCCTTTCTGAATCAGGCTTTCTCTTCTTGATCGTCGCCTCGACCTGGGCCTCTTCTCGCAGTATCTGCCTGAATTCTTTCAAGTTTGCTTTGGCGCTCTCCGAGAAAGCTTTATTGAGCACACCTCCCCCCGCTGCGGGGGGCACCTCTGTGAGCCTGTTGGGCTGACTTGGATCGAGCGTCGGTTTTTCTGCGGTTTCCTTTCGGTGCTGGGCTGCCCGGGCTCGGGAACGGTGTTCCCTCCTGGCTTGCCGAATGGATTTTCCAGCTGCGATGTCTTCCCTCAGCCGGGCATCTGAAATCAAGGGCACAGACGCTCTCGGCCCCACCGGGTTCATCCGTTCGAGACGGAGCATGGCATCATTCAATCCGCTCTGGTATTGAGTTTCCGCCTCAGTGTAATGCTTCACCCGTTCAGCATGCTCTGGCGCTCGCTTCTCAGCAGCTACAAGGCTTTGTACCCTAAGGTCAGCCAATTGCTCAAGGCGTCCAAAAAACTCAGATTTTTCTCTTGCTGAAGCGGGTGTAGCGCCAATCACCTTCTGCAGGCTCTCCCAGTTGCTGGCATCAGCATCGGCAACGGCTCTTAATATGCGCAGATGGGCGTTGCCAAATTTTATCTTTCGACGGCGAAACGGGGCCCCACCTTCCTCGATGATTTCCTCGGATTTCGGGGTCAGCATTTCTACCCCTTCGTGGGACTCCGAAGCTCCCGAATCTTCCATGACAGTGTCCTTCTCAGCCTCTCCGGAAACGGTGACACCTTCTCCACTTCCTTCGGCGTCCATCGGCTCCGCTTCAGCATCCTCGACCTTGGTCTCGACTTTAGGGTCGGGAATTGAGCAGGGATGGCTTAGACGACTTCCACATCCAAATCATCAGCGGACCAGTCGCATTCGTCTTCATCGTCGGGCATACCGGGCGCGATACACGCCTCGGTACCAACGGCACTGACGGCACCTGTCACGGTGTCAACCTCAACTCCCCCGCCTACATCGTACGGGAGGTTTTTGGTCGCAAGCAGCCTGCGCCACCTCCTCCGTCACGGGTTTGGGATCCACCTTGGGCTGCCAACTTCCAGACCGATACGCCGGAATGTCCAGCGCTGCCGGATTGAAAGTCGAGGGGGGTGCACCTTCTTCCGTGGCCTCCTTTCCTCCCTGGCTGCTGGCCAGACGTCATTGCCAGTTCGACGGAAAACGCAGCCAAGGTTGCTGGCATGGCGAACATCGATCTCCACGCACGTTTCGAGGTCTGCCCTCCACTTGCCGGATGAGGAGCCAGGATTATGGAAATGCAGATCTCTACTTTGGCGGAGCAGGCCTCGCCGTTGAATCGAGGCTGTGTGTTTCCGAAATGTTCCATGGATCAACGTCTCTGGCAACTCTGGTGGTGGAACGATGGCCGCGGGGCCCACCACACGATCTTGGGTGTGACCTGACCAAGCAGCGATCCACCATTCTCCTTCAGCATCCGGGGTTGCCACGACTCTGTCCTTGGCGTCCTTCTCGATCGCATCCCAAAGAGCCCAACTTTCGTATCTTCGACACGCCTCATGGGCCCGGAGATCACTCCACTTGACCCACCCCTCCTCACTTATAGGACACTCGTGCCAGCGGCATGTCGAAGCACGAAGCTCATGGCTTTCATAGCCCGCTCATGGGGAGGTAGGTTTCTGTTTGGGTTTTTCTTACCCTTGCCTTTTCCTCCTCCAACGATCGAGGCGCCCGCGTTGGCTGGGTTCTCACCCAGCCATTGCTCGAGGACGCGTCTGGATTCTTCCTCCCATTGTAGCCGACAGACTCCCACTATGCTCGACTTGAGCTGCTACCCATCGCACCGACAGTTCGCACAAGGCGCGGGGTGATTGGAGGAGGGCACGACGCACCGCCTCGGACGTGGCTTCCTTTCACCCCCTGAGAGCTTGACCGCTTCTTCTGGAAGTATCGCTCGAGCCGCTGGTCCGTCTGGGCCTTTCCCTAGAAGCAGCAACCGATCCTTTCGGGTCGCATGACCCTTCACGCAGCCCCTCCCCCTTCTGGGGTCCCAGACAAGCGCTCTCCCTTCTGTCGGTCGTTGAAGGGTACGTGCAGGTTTCGGCTTGGTTGCGCCAAGGTAGGGCATGGAGGAATCTATCTTCAAGAGCCCTTTCTCCC